TATATATATATATATATATATATATATATATATATATATATATATATATATATATATATATATATATATATATATATATATATATATATATATATATATATATATATATATATATATATATATATATATATATATATATATTAATTCATTTATTCATTCATTTTCTTGTCGGCTTAGTCCCTTTATTAATTCGGGGTCACCACAGAGGAATGAACCGCCAACTTATCCAGCAAGTTTTTACGCAGCAGCCCTTCCAGCCGCAACCCATCTCTGGGAATATATATATATATATATATATATATATATATATGGCTGTATATTGGCACTGGTGGGAGACAGCCGAGTGCCTTATAGTGATGATATATAGCCACATTTAACTGCTACGACTGTGATATTGCATTTATACAACAGTTTGAGGGCATAATCGTGTTTTTAAAAAAGAAAATCAAACACTTAAGCCTTAAAAATCATTTTGTATGAGGAACTACTTTCTTCCGCCATTCATTCACATCTGCAGCTGATGCCAGAACAGCAGAAACCGTTGCTACCTCCAACATCAATTTAGAGCTAGTATTCGAAGGATTCTCTAGCGTAATGTCTAAAGTGATGAGAAAAAAGGTGGTTTTGATCACATTTTAAGATCATAAGGCTTTAAACATAAGGATCAAAGTCTAGGAACACCATCCCAACTGTGAAGTATGGGGGCGGCAGCATCATGTTGTGGGGCTGTTTTGCTGCAGGAGGGACTGGTCCACTTCACAGCATAGATGGCATCATGAAGAAAGAACATTATGGAGAAATACTGAAGCAACATCTCAAGACATCAGCCAGGACATTAAAACTTGACCACAAATGGATCTTCAAAACAGACCATGATCCTCAGCATACTGCCAAATTTGTTTAAATGTGCTTTAAGGACTACAGAGTGAATGTTTTGCAGTGGCCATCACAAAGCCCTGACCTCAATCCTATAGAAAATGTGTGGGCAGAGTTGAAAAAGCTTGTGCGAGCAAGACAACCTACAAATCTGATTCAGTTACAGCAATACTGTCAGGAGGAATGGGCCAAAATTCTAGCAAACTATTGTGAGATGCTTGTGGAAGGAGACCCAAAACATTTGACCAAAGTCGTACAGTTTAAAAGCAAAGCTGAAAAATACCAAGGTAATGTGTGTAAACTTTAGACTGTCTAGAAATGAATAAACAAATCTCTAAAAAAAAAAATCTCTCATTATTCTGGCATTTAACAAATGTAAATCATTTAAGTAATCCTAACAAACATAAAATAGTCAACGTTTTGTATGATTTAACACCAAACATTGTTTTAAATGGTTATACTCATTTTTTTAGAGTGTGTGTAAACTTCTGGTTTCAACTGTATATTGAGAATATTTAAACAATATAATTAGAAATTAATTCAAATACAATCTTAGTTATGCATTTATTAATTCATTACGTTTTCTATAACCTGATGGTTTATTTATGAACTATTTAAGCTTAGTGTGTGTGTGTGTGTGTGTGTGTGTGTGTGTGTGTGTTCAGCCCAATTGTTGGTGGGATGGTGAATCTCAGCGCTGTAGGCCATGTGAGTGCAATGTTCGTGGCTCGGTATCCCAGCGCTGTGATTCTGAGGGCCGGTGTGTGTGTCGGGCAGGGTTCGTGGGCCGCCGTTGTGAGCTCATGCGCCCGCCCCACAACCGCCGAGAGACCCGCCGGCCCGTCCAGCAGGTGCCCATACAACACGTCCAGCGCTGGGAGAGCAGGGGAGGCTGTCCGCGAGGAGCCTACCGCCCCGGGACTGGGGTAAACACTCCGCATGATGGGTGCTGTGTTTGTGTGTGCATGTGTGTGACCAACTAAAACTGAGTCTGAACTAAAGGTTTTTTTGGTTTTGCCATTTTGAAGCTTGATTCAAATGAGTGAATCTACTGGTAATGACTCACTGATTCAAACAAATGAATCTACAGGTGATGATTCACTGATTAAAATGAGTGAATCTACACATAATGACTCAATATTTTAAATGAGTGAATTTACAGGTGATGATTCACTGATTCAAACAAGTGAACCTACAGGTAATGACTCACTGGTTTGAATGAGTGAATCTAGAGGTAAAGACTCACTGGTTTGAATGAGATAATTTGCAGGTGATAATTCACTTATTCAAATGAGTGAATCTATTGGTGAACATTCACTGATTCAATGGGTGAATCTACAGGTGATAATTCACTGATTCAAACAAGTAAATCTACAGGTGATACCTCACTGGTTTATATGAGTGAATCTACATGTTATGATTCACTGATTCAAACTAGTGAATCCACGTAATGACTCACTAAATGAAAGAATCTACATGTAATGACTCACTGGTTTTAATGTGAGTATCTACAGGTAATGACTCACAGATTCAAACAAATGAATCTCCTTGTAATAACTCACTGTTTTATAATGAGTGAATCTACAGGTGATGATTCACTGATTCAAATAAGGGTTTCTACAGA